TGTTGGAGAGACTATGCTCCTTAGAGGATGGACAAGGCATGGTGAGCCTTTGGTGTCAAACCATTGATGAATATAGAAAAGGCATGGTGAGCCTTCAATGTCAAACCATAGACAAATATTGGCTGGGTGCCAAGTATGGAAATGGTAACACATGTGGGTGTTACTTTATAAAATGGTTTACCGTTTGATGAGGACATCAAACTTCATCTATGGGTGGTGGAGTTGTGGAGCCGAAAGGGTGCCATGTGGTAGTGGCCGAAGCAAAAGCCAAATGAACGTAACACGTTTGGATTAAAAGCTCTGACTTGAAAGATCGAAAGCGGGAGTGAAATTCCCAACGAAGGGCTCAAGGAACAAGCATGAAGTGAGCAATAAGTGAGTCTCTAGAAAAGGGACACAAGAGGACCAACACATGACACGTGGAAGTGTCCGAGATGGAGTCCGAAATGGACCCGAGATGGACCCGAGATAGAGTCCGAGACGGAGTCCGAAATGGATCCGAGATGGAGTCTGACATGGAGTCCGAGATGGACACGAGATGGAGTCCGAGATGGACCCGAGATGGAGTCCAAGATGGACCCCAGATGGACCCCAGATGGAGTCCGAGATGGACCCGAGATGGAGTCCGAGGTAGACCCGAGATAGAGTCCGAGATGAACCCGCGATGGAGTCCAAGGTGGACTGAGATGGAGTCCGAGATGGACCCGAGATGGAGTCCGAGATAGAGTCCAAGATGGAACTGAGATCGGGACCGAGACTGAGACCGAGTCCGAGTCCGAATCTGGGACCAAGACCGAGTCCGAGTCTGAGTCCGAGTCCGAATCCGGGACCAAGACCGAGTCCGAGTCTGAGTTCGAGTCTGAATCCGGGACCAAGACCGAGCCCAAGTCTGAGTCCAAGTCCAAATACTAATACAGGCAGTTGGGTGAAAGCCCAAAGCGATTGTCCCCTAGGGGAGGGGGGAGGGGGGGAGGGGCTGGGGGGGGGGGGGGTTCCAAAAGTATAGTAGGGAGAGTGTGGGGCTTGGAGCCTAGTGGAGCCAATTTGGCCAGGAAAGGCCAATTTGGCCAGGAAAGGCCAGTTTGGCCCAAGAAGGCCATACCCAGCAAAGGTTGAGTGGTAGGGATGCCATTCTCAAGGCCAACTAGCCTCAGTCCAGAATGGGACTTATGGAGGTTGTGAGTGAGACTCCTCCAAGTGGTCGGAAGTGTGGTTAAATGACTAAAGTAAAATGGAAAATTTAGTCGCTTACACCCATCTTACGGTACGTGGTTTATCTGAGGGGCTCCTTACACAGTGGAAAGGACCGTATCAGGTATTGCGGCAAGTTGGACCACAAGTTTATGAAGTTTGGCATGACATCCAGTACGCCGATCCTCCAGAAATTGTGCATGTGCAGAGGTTGAAACACTTCATACAAAGGGATTAGGAGCAATTAATACCACCTACAGATCCACCGATGCCTTCTCCTGACGTTCCTCCAAATCCCGGCCCATCTACAAAAGAACCCTGATGGTCTTCCATTATTCCGAAAGGAAGGGATGATGTGAGGCCAAGTGTATGGCTATGATACCGTATATTAATATTAGTGTAGTGGGATTTTGGTAGTCGTCGGATTAGTTTTAATTTAGACCACTTGCTCTTGTATATAAGCTAGGGTTTTTGGGCTAATTGATATACACATTTTTTGTATTCCCTTTACAAATTCCAAGCACTCACATATTCATTTTATTTGCAAAATCTTTTTATTTTTCAGCTAAGTTAAAAGTAAAAAATTGTTACTCAACTTGAAGATATTCCCAATCATTATTATATCAACTTTAAGCATTGTGTTATTTGATAAAACAAAATATAAAACTTATCTTATTTGTAATATAGATAGTTTTTTAAAAAAATTTAAAAATTTAAACTTACCACTTATGAAGCCTATGAGAAAAAATGATGCAGACATGCAACCAAGTAGAAATATCTAATCCAAAAGTATTAATAAATATTTGATTTTTTTGTTCTAAAGTTTATAAGTTTATTGAAGTTTAATTTTGTTTAACTTTCTCATTATTTATATAAAAGGAGAAAACATTATTAAAACTAAGAGACATACAAAACAAAACAGTAAAACAAAATTAAAGATCCACTTATTCAAAAACACTATACCAAAAAGTTCTTGAGTGTCACTAATCATGGTGATAGTGTTATTGATAACACAAAAAAAAAATTGTTAAAATATTTTACTGTCATATTGGTAAATAATCAAAATATTCCCTGATTATAAAAAAAAATATAAAGTGCTAAGGGATGATGTCTGTTATTATTAGCTTCATTATATTTTACCACTACTTATTAAGGACGTCTTTTCTGTGTTTTGACTAATTCTATAATTTTTAAAATAAATCTTATAGTGATAGAAATTCATTTATTAGTTAAAAATTACAAAATATCATGACAATGACTAATAGTTCAAGATTTTAAAATAAAAATAATAATATGATATCATCACTTAGATCAACATAGCATTCTCCAATAAGAAAATAAAACTATTTCATCAATAATCTTAAAAGAAATATCTCAAGTATTAATCTCACTATAATCTCAATTATTAACTACCTTAATTAAAAAAGTGAGAGTAAGATAACAAATATTAAAATACTATATTAATACCATTTAACTTATTTGGAAATGTGATTAGTATAATTATTATATTAAAAAGAGAATTTATATATATATATATATATATATATATATATATATATTGCCAGAATAAGTTCAAATTTATAGGTTTAAGACTCATGATTAAGAGTACATTTTTTCTTATCAATTAATGGGGATTATTGTAGTTAATATTATATTTTGCAATCAGACAACATGAGATACTCAGTATTATGAAAAGCTTAGAAAGAAAAGTTTTTAAAAAATTTAGAAGTACACTAAATGGCTCTTTTAGTTAGAATATTATTTATGTTGGACGTTTATACTTTTGCTTTGGAAAGGGGTAAATGATCAAGGCCTTTTGTTATAGTTAGTTTGATCACGCTGGAGCCATGAAAGAAATAGCAACGCACCACTACGGCTTTTTGTCAAAGACAATGCGCTGACTATAAAATACCTGCCCGCTCATCCGACCGACTCACAGCCTAATTTTTACCCATCTATTTGTCTGTTGACACTTCTTGGCCTTCGCCTTAAAGGGCGCCCAAGATCATCTCATCCTCTCTCTTTCCTCCTCCTTCGATCATCCCAGCGAGCGCGGCGAGCTTCGAAAGAGCAGCTCGATCCAATGGAGTCGATGGCGGCACCGCCCTCCTCGTCCTTTTCTCGATCGCCCTCCACAATGCAGGTAAACAATGCCCATCCTTCTTGTTCTTGGCCGAGAGGAATCTTTTTAGAGGTTGCTTTGCCGGATGATCCAAATGGTGAAGGTAACAGCTATGAAACATCTAAAGCCCAGCCCTTTTATGGTCCAAACAAGACTCCTGGAGAATTTGTTTGCAGGTTTGTTTGATTATTTTTGGTTTTGTTTTATTTTGAATGTTAATGCAGGATTTCGACCAGTAATTTCCTCTGGTCAAATAAGGGTAAATCCAACTTCTGCTAGTTAGCATCTCCTGATAAATCCAACTTCTGCTACGTTAGCATCTCCTGATACCACTGCTATTTCGATTGTTGTTTCACAGGGTGCTGCAGTTACTCCTACACTCACTCCTCAACCAGTTTCTGGAGCTGGAGCTGCTGGGACGTCCACTCATGCTCAAGGATCTCGCTGATGCTATCACGAGCTGCTATGACAGCTCCAAGAAATCATTCTGGGAGAGTCTTGACAGCCAGGCATCAGAGATCAAAGCCATTTCGAAGTTGGAGGAGGTTCTGAGGGATAAAGCGATTCCGCAGAATTGGAGAGTGAAGCAGCCTAAGCTCAAGATCAAGGATCCCGATGTACAAAAGGAACTCAATGAGCTAGCTGGCTTTAAGCACACGGAGTACCAACTCACGCTCCTCAGTCTGCTGCTTGACGCTCGGAAAAGGGAACTTGTGATTTTTTCCGGGCAGGTCAAGAATGCTTGCAGGACATTCGACGATCATCTCTTGGACATTGTTCTAACTGCCCTACAAGACCCAAGCTCCAGAAGTCTTCTTCAGCGCGAGCTAGCGACGATGGTTTATGCCAAGAGAGATCTCTTTGCAAAAGACGTCGTCTTTGCTCAAGCTAACAGAAGGCTTCAGGAACAGAATCGGCAGAACGCTGAGGATGCTCGCCTGGCGGTACAGGACAAGGCAAAGTTGCTAAGCTCAAGAGTGCTCCTTCTCTGAAAGACACAAAAGGAAAAGAAAAAGCTCTGGTGATCCCGTTGTACCCTAGGATGATGTCATAGATTTGATTTGAGAAGGCAATTACCCGCAATGGTAGTTCCTTGTGATAGGTTCTGAGGTGCAACGGGAAGTGTGCTTGATGTACGGACAATGCAGATGTCGTCTTGTTATCGCCATAGAATACACGAAAAACTCGGGCTGCAGGAGACAATGGCAACTCACATCGAGAAACCACCGAGCGTCTGATACTGGAGGCTGCTGATTCGAAATCCACCAACACTGCGACCATCAATGTCCTTTAATGGTCCTTCGGATTAGATCCGAGAGATGTATTGCCATTGTATATTACTCGACTGAGCAAGGGTAATGCGACCATCGCTAGAGCAGGGTCTCACTCTCCAACTTGCTATGATAAGCGAATGTGCCTGGGCAAGGGTGAGACTCAGTATTAGATATGTCCATACGACCCCGAGTAGAAAAGATGGTAAGACGTAGAGGAATGGATACACTGCTTTTGAATTAGTAACAGACCATGAGTACTACATAGGTAAATCTAGGCCTCTGCTAGGTCCCAAGTTAGGGATTATTAAAGTGGCAATGTGACAGGGTTACTAGCGAGTCACAAAGACATTGTCTTCACGAAGACTCGAACCCAAACCTGCGAAAAAGATAATTAAAAAGCATTTAGGGTTCATGTTTTCTAAACCTAAAGCTATGGCGGAGCTCAGCGGAAGCGGTAAGCGTTTCGCACAGTTCCCATCTGTGGTTACAGAGAAAAGAAGGAAGGTCATGGATGAGTTCGAGGAAGCTTGGGCATTCTCCGTGAGATTGGAGGAATGTTTTGGGCATCTGACAATGGAGAGCTTAACGAGCAACGAAACGTGGTGCCGGCTGTTGGCTCCGGACATGAGTAGAAATTTGGGAGAGTTTGATTACATGGGTCGACAGGTGACGAAGGATCTCATAGATTTCGTATTTCTTAGCGACAGGGATGATCATCCCAGGCTGCGGCTGCCCTTTGCGAAACCTAAGTACATCACAGGGACACCCGGGTTTGGCAAAACTGTCAGCATTTGTGCTGGAGTGGGCTTTCTGCTTGTCAAGTCGCACTTGGCAATCAAGGCCAAACAGCTCAAGGAAACGGAAGGGTTACCACAGAGTGAAGAGATCAAGCCAGAGGTTACCGTCAATGTCCCAAGGTAAGGCCTCTTGTTTTGCAGCTCTACATGCATTGTCTAACGAGAACTTTGCCTTGTCAATCAGCAACTTGTTGGACGTTCGCGTGATTCCGCTAGACATGGGGGCACCGGGTGAACAGGAGATACCACCAAACATTACCAGCAAGCAACCAGAGATTACCAGCAAAGGTGAAGCGAACCAGCTTGCTAAGAGGGAAACGAAGATGCCAGATCTTGCGACATGCCGGTTCTTACTTCTGGCTGGAAACTATTTCGTGAAGGATCCGGTGCGAGCAGTATACAAAGCCTTGGTTTTGGCCTATATCCACGAGCCGGCTGTTCACAAGCGACTGATAGCTGCGAACGAGGACGCCCCAAAGATGCTTCATTTCCTACGTACACGGGGGGAGAAAATCTTCATTTTCATTGACGATGGAAATGCGATGGATGTGAGCAAGGACGATTCACCGTCTGTAAGCAATCAGAAGATGGCTGCACGCGACTTTATCGATGAAATCCCTCTCGAGTGCACCACAGTCATCTGTGCCTCTGTGAGGAGCTCCTTGAGGAAAGAGATTTCAAAAACTCCTGAAGTAGAATTCCACACTTGCGTGGGGGGATTTAACGTAAGTGTCATTCTTTACTTACGCTGAGCTCAATTTTGTTTTTCGACAGTTCACGGAGCTCGGAGTTTACTTGAAACGTCAGGGCATGAGTTTTGAAGAGCTGGACTACAGATTGACTGGCACAGTGCCTTGGCTGGTTGATTACTGGATCCATTTAAAGAAGGGGCGCCTTTCAAGCAAGTACCTGTTGGGCGAGAATGTAAAGGGACTTGAGAAGTCGCTGCTTGAAGTCATCCGGAGGCCGGTCAACAACAGTGATGGACGATGGACTCGGAACGAGCTCCTTAAGGCTATTGCAGGGAGACGCATCTCTGTTCTATCCGAGGCCATGGACTCCAGGTGTTACTATCGCGGTGCTGATGGCAAAGGTCACTGTCTGACGCAGCATTTGCAGACGCTTGCTCATGTTTGGCTAGCTCAAGAGCTAAGCAGGAAGCAGGACCGCGACATGGAAGCAGAAGTTCGCTACTTCACGCAGGGTATCTCAGAAAGCAGGAACATGTGCACCATTGGGTGGAACGCTGAGGAAGCCACAATACTTGCCCTGAAGCTTCTCAACGTCGACATAACAGGGGCCAATGTGACACTGAGTCACCATCTCCAGGTTGTGCCCGTTAACAAGATGACGCGATCCATGGTCAGCTTGAAAAAGGTGAGTAGAAGTCCGACGCTCTTTGTGAACCAGAACTACAATCACATTGGAGCCGATGTGTATTATGCCGACCAGCAGGTGCTCATCGTCTTCCAGATAAGCGTTGCTAAAGATGCCGTGAAGCTTCATCGTCACACCAAAGAAGTCGCAGAAAAGATCTTTGAAGGGGATTCCAGAAGAAAGGTTCTCGTCTGGGTTCTTTCCGACCTTGAAGAATCCGCTTACGTCCCTGAGGATAAGGAAGCAGACTACGAGGAAGTGTTCACGCTATTCGGAGATTTGCACTACGCGTTGAGCTCTATTGATGAGCGGGTCAAAGAACTGAGAGGCAAAGTGGACATGTTTTGTCGACAATGTGGCAAAGACAAGACTCCGGAGGAAGTGCTTTGCAGCTTCTGCAACAGTTGGTACCACGTGGGATGTACAAGCTACAGAAACGAGGAGGTCTGGATATGTGATGATTGCAAAGTCGGCCATGGACGTAAGCTTCGTTTCATTCTTTCGTTTAGTCACCAACTGTTGAGTTATCTTTGCAGTGGAAGTCAAGGAAGATGATGAGGACGACTTTGCATGGGGGACAAGATGAAGACACAGAGATGGAGGATGACGCTTGAATTTCTTGTGAAGTCGTTTGATAGTTACAGTTTTTCTTTCTTGAGCTTGACAGCATATGCCCGAGTCTCACGCCCCAAGGATTTGAAAGTATATGGACCTCCAGCTTTGAAAACTGCAATCAGGTGAATACATAGATAACAGCATGGTAGTGGTGCCGAACTCGGTTTTGTTGTCGCTAGTTGTTGGTTGAACTACCGTACTTATGTCGTGCATTGACAAAGTTGTCGGGAGGCTCTCGTTGGTACAACAGCTACTGTTTTTGCCAACACTGAATGCCCAACTAGGTTTGCATGGGGGTGTACGTTTATGCCCGAGGTGAAGGTTTTAGGCATTGCTTGTTGAACCTCTGCAATGAGTTGAGGCTTGTGGTTGGACGTAGACAATAAAAATAAAAAATTAAATGCTTTTGAATTACAAATTCAAGAAGTGAATAATACATGTATTTCTTGTTTAGAATCTTAGTATTTTTTAAAGGACGACCAGACAGTCAGACGCTTGTGCTTGGTAGAACATGTAAGTTTAAGCCAAGATTTAAGACATTTGCTTCACGAACTTCTGCAATTGAGGCTTGTGCTTGGAACAATGAAATTTATAGAATACAGTTCAATTTCTTTATTTTTGTTCGAATCAGCTATGACTATAAATGGAGAAGCAAACCTAAAAGGATCATGTTCTTGTTCTTAAAGGTTCTTGTTCATCGGAGCTTTGTTTGTATTTCCTGGCCAATTTGATCCTTTTTTTTAATCCTAATGGAGGTATGTTCTTTTCCTATAGATTTTTGGTCTTCTTCTTTGTTCTTTTTTATTGTTGGTTTCAGCTTTAGGAGCGATGTATTTTTAGGAGGGCAAGAGTCGATTGCATGGACAAGTCTGTTCCTGACACGCTCGAGGGCTTTTTTGATAAGCGGATGTGCAGAGGGAGGAACATATTCGAGATTACTAACGCTTTTGAAGAACTCTGTCCGGGAAATAAAGTACTTACATGTTGGTTAAAAGCTAGGAATATTAAATTCAAAGATTCCACCATCTTAAGTCCTTTTTCAACAAAGATTTGATATTTATAAAAACCTCACTTAAAGTTCACATGATTTTCAAATGCAAACACGACATTCTTCTCAAACTTTGAAAATTTGACCATATTTGAAAAACACGGATTTAAACAAAGTAGGTTTGATCCATATAACTTCTAGGAAAAAAATTTGAGAAGAATTGAACCCCAAACCTTAGAGTTATAGCCTAACCCAACCATGGATAAAAGGGGAATTAATCTATTCTTGAACTTCAAACCAGAAAAAGTTACTCTAGTTTCTAGCCTCCAGTATAGGGTCTTCCATCCTGTGCTGGATTCTGTACTTGTATCTTTTGTTGCTCGTGATCCTGCTCTCGTTTCTGTTTCTGTGTAGTCATGGGCATCTTGCCATCTTGAATACATCCATGTTCTGCAATCCCCGTCCAGGCCCGTGATCCAGATCTTGCGCATTGGCTTATCATAGCAAGTTGGAGAATGAGACCCTGCTCTAGCGATGGTCGCATTACCCTTGCTCAGTCGAGTAATATACAATGGCAATACATCTCTCGGATCTAATCCGAAGGACCATTAAAGGACATGATGGTCGCAGTGTTGGTGGATTTCGAATCAGCAGCCTCCAGTATCGATCCAGAGGCCAATCTCTCGGTGGACTCAAACGCTCGGTGGTTTCTCGATGTGAGTTGCCATTGTCTCCTTTTTCGTGTATTTTATGGCGATAACAAGACGACATCTGCATTGTCGGTACATCAAGCACACTTCCCGTTGCACCTCAGAACCTATCACCATTGCGGGTAATTGCCTTCTCAAATCAAATCTATGACATCATCCTAGGGCACAACTGGGCTTTTTCTTTTCCTTTTGTGTCTTTCAGAGGAGCACTCTTCAGCTTAGCAACTTTGCCTTGTCCTGTGCCGCCAGGCGAGCATCCTCAGCGTTCTGCCGATTCTGTTCCTGAAGCCTTCTGTTAGCTTGAGCAAAGACGACGTCTTTTACAAAGAGATCTCTCTTGGCATAAACCATCGTCGCTAGCTCGCGCTGAAGAAGACTTCTGGAGCTTGGGTTGGAGATGTCTTGTAGGGCAGTTAGAACGATGTCCAAGAGATGATCGCCGAATGTCCTGCAAGCATTCTTGACCTGCCCGGAAGAAATCACAAGTTCCTTTTTCCGAGCGTCAAGCAGCAGACTGAGGAGCGTGAGTTGGTACTCCGTGTGCTTAAAGCCAGCTAGCTCATTGAGTTCCTTTTGTACATCGGGATCCTTGGTCTTGAGCTTAGGCTGCTTCACTCTCCAATTCTGCGGATATCCCTCAGAACTTCCTCCAACTTCGAAATGGCTTTGATCTCTGATGCCTGGCTGTTAAGACTCTCCAAGAATGATTTCTTGGAGCTGTCATAGCAGCTCGTGATAGCATCAGCGAGATCAGAAGTGCCTTCCGAAGTAGGAATCACCGAAGAGCTATCGGTGTTCAGAAGAACAGCCAGGTCATCCTTGGAGTCTGGAGTGGCTTGAGCATGAGTGGACGTCCCAGCAGCTCCAGATCCAGAAACTGGTTGAGGAGTGAGCGTAGGAGTAACTGCAGCACCCTGTGAAACAACAATCGAAATAACAGTGGTATCAGGAGATGCTAACATAGCAGAAGTTGGATTTATCAGGAGATGCTAACATAGCAGAAGTTGGATTTATCCTTATTTGACCAGAGGAAATTCCAAGACGAGTTTGACTGGTCGAAATCCTGCATTAACATTTAAAATAAAACAAAACCAAAAATAATCAAAACTTAGTGTTGTGTTTTTTATATATATAAATCTCTATTTACTATAATAATTACACTAATCACGTGTACTACATTATTTCCAAATAGGTTAAATGGTATTAATATAGTAATTTTAATGTTTGTTAATTTACTCTCACTTATCTATTTAAGGTAATTAAGAGTTTAGATTATAGTGAGATTAATGCTTGAGATATATCTTTTAAGATTTATGATGAAATTGTTTTATTTCCTTATTAGAGAATGCTATGTTGATCTAATAATATTTTTTATTAAAAAATCTTAAACTAGTAGTAATTTTCATCATATTTTTGTAATTTTTAACTAATAAATGAATTTCTATCACTATAAGATTTATTTCAAACATTTTAGAATTAGTCAAAACACAGAAAAAACCTCCTTAATAAGTAGTGGTAAAATATAATGAAGCTAAGAATAACAAACATCATCTTTTAGCACTTTATATTTTTTTATAATCAAGGAATATTCTGATTATTTACCAATATGACAGTAGAATATTTTAACAATTGTTTTTTTGTTGTGTTATCAATAACACTATCACCATGATTAGTGACACTCAAGAACTTTTTGGTATAGTATTTTTGAATAACTGGATCTTTAATTTATTTTTTTACTGTTTTGTTTTGTATGTCTCTTTCTCATTTTTATATAAATAATGAACAAGTTAAGAAAAATAAAATTTTCATTAAACTTATAAACTTTAGAACAAAAAATTCAAATATTTATTCATACTTTTGGAATAGATATTTCTTCTTGGTTACATAAGCATCATAAATGGTAAGTTTAATTATTTAAAAGTTTTTATAAAACTATCTATATTACAAATAAAATAAGTTTGATATTTAGATTTATCAAATAACAAAATGTGCTTAAAGTTGATATAATAATGATTGGGAATATCTTCAAGTTGAGTAACAATTTTTTACTTTTAACTTAGCTAAAAAATAAAAATTTTTCAAATAAAATGAATAATAATTATAATTCATTTCAATACTTAAAACTTTTATCTTAAGTATATAATCACTTCTGCCAATTTACCATTTTATATGAGGTAATGGGATTGTATACCCTAGTAACATTTTCTTAATAGGCTGACATTCTTTGTGTATATTATTGGTACTTAATTTATATCATATTGAGATTTATTGAACACTAATTAATTTATTAAATTGAATCGATCATTAAATTTGATATAACAGAATATCTAGTAAACTGTAAAGATTTTTTGCAAATGAGAAAACTTTTGTAATGGATATGAATAATAATATTTTGAGCTGTCATTTTCCTGTATGTATACTGTTATTAAAGTGATCCGTCCCTGACTTGTTTAGCTTTATTTATGGATCTTAAATCAAACTCTCCAACAATGTTCAATCCTTTTCCTGTAAAGCCTATGTAACAGTTTTCTTGCTCGCCTCCTCCCGTACTTGCCTCTTTCTATCAAGTTGCGTGGGTATTTTTGAGGATTTGTGGTCCTCATATGATATGTTAAGTGGTAGGTCATCTAGGGTCACAACTGCTCATAGAGAAGAGAGATTTAGGTTATGATTGCTTTCACAATATGGTATCGGAGCATCACTGATCCTAGGATGGAAGACATTGGTATAGAATTTAGCAGTGAGGATGAACCACCAGACAAACAAGATTGCATATGGATGCAATTTTGGATGACATTTAGAATACACGAAAAACTCGGGCTGCAGGAGACAATGGCAACTCACATCGAGAAACCACCAAGCATCTGATACTGGAGGCTGCTGATTCAAAATCCACCAACACTGCAACCATCATGTCCTTTAATGGTCCTTCGGATTAGATCCGAAAGATGTATTGCCATTGTATATTACTCGACTGGTAAATCTAGGCCTCTGCTGGGTCCCAAGTTAGGGATTATTAAAGTGGCAATGTGACAGGGTTACTAGAGTACACGACTTTAACACAAAGGCATTGTCTTCACGAAGACTCGAACCCAAACCTGTGAAAAAGATAATTTAGGGCTCATGGTTTCTAAACCTAAAGCTATGGCGGAGCTCAGCGGAAGCGGTAAGCGTTTCGCACAGTTCCCATCTGTGGTTACAGAGAAAAGAAGTAAGGTCATGGATGAGTTCGAGGAAGCTTGGGCATTCTCCGTGAGATTGGAGGAATGTTTTGGGCATCTGACAATGGAGAGCTTAACGAGCAACGAAACGTGGTGCCGGCTGTTGGCTCCGGACATGAGTGGAAATTTGGGAGAGTTTGATTACATGGGTCGACAGGTGACGAAGGATCTCATAGATTTCGTATTTCTTAGCAACAGGGATGATCATCCCAGGCTGGGGCTGCCCTTTGCGAAACCTAAGTACATCACAGGGACACCCGGGTTTGGCAAAACTGTCAGCATTTGTGCTGGAGTGGGCTTTCTGCTTGTCAAGTCGCACTTGGCAATCAAGGCCAAACAGCTCAAGGAAACGCAAGGGTTACCACAGAGTGAAGAGATCAAGCCAGAGGTTACCGTCAATGTCCCAAGGTAAGGCCTCTTGTTTTGCAGCTCTACATGCATTGTCTAACGAGAACTTTGCCTTGTCCATCCAGCAACTTGTT